TATTTTTCAATGGTACCTAAAAGCTTCAAAGAAAATGTGTGAGCGTATTGTGGCGGTCCTATTTTTGTTGTCATTTGTGGCATTCAGTTGTCTCCGAATTCATCCTTCTTTTTTCCTGTCTAATTTAGCATCGCCTTATCAATTTCTGCAGCTCTTTTCGCTAAAATCTGTGCCCCTTTGTTCGAATCTACCCTCACCAGTTATCCACACTGAAGGAATGGTTCTGGCCCTTTTTTTCTCACGCTGTATCTCCAGTTCAATAGGTATTAAAAGGCGAATTACCACACACAGCCAAAGCGAACGCCGAGAAGGGCTGTACTTACACATCATAACTTTCCTCAAAAAGAACAGCGTAATTAAGATTTCTTCTGGATAAAGCGTAGCTAGCACCGAGATAGCTGCGTATCAGGCGTGCCGGTGCGGTCATCCGTTTCTGTATCGAACATAAAGAAGACAGATCGTTAGCGGTATGTGTGGTTGCTGCTTTTGAGTTTAACGAGTAGACTCATATTTTTGGAACTTTGGCCTTTTTCCGGATGCAAGTGGAGGGGACGTCGGCTGGGAAGTTAGCATTACATCATACGACCACGTGATGGAGCCTAATGAAACATCTTCAACACGACTTGTTGAGCTGAGAAAATGCGCTTTCATTGCAGGCAATGGCGAGCAATTCGCGACAGAAGGAAACGATTCGGAGTACGCCTTGGTTCTAGAATCCAAGGGCAACGGTAACTTCGATGTACCGATTAACGTTTTTTTGAATGACAAATTTCATTTCGTATAACTGCACAGGAGCGTGGAAGCATCTGCGAAACATCACTGACGTGGGTTATCCATGCCGAGTATCCAGACGGCCTGGATACTCGGCATGGATAACAACCCACGTCAGTGATTCTTGGTCTGATATAATCGTAAACGGATCCAGGACGAACTCCTGAAGAAGAGGGGAGGAGGAGGAGAAGGGCGGAGGGTGACGGGTGGGACGCGGAGCGGGGCTCCTCG